AGCGGACCCCCTGATCAAACTGGATTTAGACACCTGTGTAGCTGCTACTAAGAACATCTTCATAGTCTTTTGAACCAGACACAAATACATTAACAGTATTTAAAAAGAAAAAAGAAAGCTCATGGCACCGGTCATTACCGATGACTGTCGGCTCCAGGTCCACAAACACAGCTCTGGGAACGTGTTTGCCAGCTCCAGTCTCACTGAAGAAGGTGTTGAATGAGTCGTCACCCCCTCCAATGGTCTTGTCGCTGGGCATCTGACCGTCTGGCTGGATGCCGTGCTCCAGGCAGTACAGCTCCCAGCATGCATTGCCTATCTGCGATCCAGCTTGGCCGACGTGGACAGAGATACATTCACGCTGCAAGCACAAGTGGCTCAGATGTCAAGAACTACTTGCATGTAATTTTTAAAGATCTAATTAAAGAGAGCTCTGAGATTTAAAGAAACCAATAATCAACTGTTACAGGACTGCGTGTTAGTCATGCAAAACCAGTCCATAAACAGTTTGTCAGTGTCATTAGAAAGTGAAATGTTTCTGCTATTGCTGAACATTCACTAAGTCCTGTCAGACCATGTTAGAGTTTTTAGCCAAATTCCCTAGTTTTTATGTTACCTTCCATAAAAATGGGAAAAAAATTTTTTAAAATCCTCATGAGTTTCACACAGTCAGGTAAACAGATTTTAGGTTTACAGAAAAGAACAGTGCATTGCTATCAGCAGCATTAGATCCAACAGGAAGTCATTAAGATCATGTATTAGACCCAGTGCTTAGGTTCATTTCCTTAAGAGAGGAGCTGGTAATTGATCCCTTTGACACACAGTTGACCCAAACCGGAGTGATTGCACCATTCAACGTGCAGCATGTTCAAAATGTGTTGCATGAACATTTTTATGACACAGAGTGTGTTTCATTTTAGGGAAACAGGAAAAACATTTTTAAAAAATGTTCAAAGCAGGCTGTGCCATGAGGGGATCTAACAAATTCCAGTTATGAGTGTTAAGTTATTTTCCTTCATCACAAACTTCCTCTTCAGGCCAAATGGGATCACCTCGCACACCAACCTGTCTCTGTCTGAGGTGTTTTCCCCCATAACACGTGCAATGCAGCTCGTGTGAAATAAAAAGATAAAATAAAAGTAATCCTCACCATGTTTTTGTCTCTTGAAGCAGCCCCTGGTTCACCTGAGTTGAGTGGCTGGGGATGTTGTGTCAGGTATGAACACAGGGCACTGCTTTATAGAGCAGCATTACTAGGCAACAGTCTGGCATGTTGTGGTAACTGGAGAAGTAGCCAGCAGCTCCTTGGATGAAAGATGAGGAGGAAGAGCACAAAAAGAAAATGTTCTGGCATGTCTCTGTGCACAGATCTAAGGAGTGGTGGCTGAGTAACCACCAACAATGGCCCAAGTGGCTGTGAAACATGATCCCAAACTGTTCGCCCTCTGTCTCACATTTCACATGTTAGACTTATGTAAGGTAGGTCAAAGGTCAAAGTGTCTATTTGTCATATGCACAGTTAGGAAACTTGTTTCCCTGTACAATGAAATTCTTTGCTGTCCACATGAATGCCACAAAATACAAATGAAATATAAAGTAGATAAATAAGTAACACAAAATCTAAGGCAGGTATGATAGGAGCAGAGGTTCAAATGTGCTTGACATGGGTGGAAACACTTGTAAAAAAGGTGAGTTCTGTTCACCTTAACACTTGATCCTGTTCACAGGGCACTTTTGGAGCCTCTATTTTTTAATCTCACAGTGGAGCAGAAGCAGACACCTCCACGCAGTGACCTGAATAGGCTTCTGTTACAGATCACCATTGCATCACCATTGTGGTTGAGATTCATTTGCAATGCAAAGGTAGCAGTTGGCTCCCTGGACGCTCTCCCCAGCTACTCACTGTATATGGCGAGATTAAAGTGCTTTAGAAAGCTGCTAGCCCTAAAACAATTTCAAAAGCGTAGTTTTAGTGGAAATACCTGAGTGTGTAAAAATAGTGTGTGGGTGGTGCTGTAGAGTGTTTCCTTCCCAACGAGAGGAAATCCTACTTAGTGACAAAAACTACTGGGTTTGTATCAATGTCCTCTGTTGTTTGAGGTCCAGTGGCTGTTATATGTTTAAGCCCTGCTTCTGAAGGTAACCCTAGAGACAAACTGCCAGGACATGCTCCCATTCAGTTTCCCTGGTTACTCTTTCTCAAACTTTGTTGCTCTCCAATGTCAGCTGATCCTGACAGGCCAGGCTTTACTCAAACTGTGCCAACCACTCTTAGTGCTGGAGTGCACACACAGTTAGTGGGAGAAACTAGCCATCAGTACTCAGTTCCTGCTCTCATTGTTTAAAGACGGATGCCTCTGACAGATTTTAGCACAAATCAAAAAGACAGCTGTTCAGTAGTTTTCCTTTGTTTTCTATGTTGTAATCCTATTTTGCAGGACAAAATCTACATTGGTTTTGTGACGACTAAGATACAAGTGCGACTAAGTTGTGTGAAAACATTATATGTTAGTGGAACTAGCAGCAGCAGAAACAAGGCTCAGCTGAGTGACATATGCCTGTTTAACATAATTACAGAGTAATATGAAGGGCTGTGTTCAACAAGTTGACAGTTACACAGACACACATGACATTATATTCTCACTGGCTCTGTACATCAAGGCCTGTTCCCTCTCTGACCTCCACCCGGCCGCTCTGTTGTTTTCCATGTGACTGTGTGTCTTGTTACCGACACATCACAGGTCACACTGCTGCTGCTGCTGGTACTGAGCTGAACAAATCAGCAACAATATAGCTTCACAGAACAACATGGTCTGCAGCCATGTTTGTCAGAAAACTGGCACTAGAAACATTAATGGACAATTCAGGGAACTGGGTTACATCGAATCCAGTTTCTTTTTTAAAGCAACTTGAAATTTATTTTTTCAGAAGTGTCTGCATTTGATGGATGAATTCAGCAAAAATACAGCAACTGTGCAACACAGAGCAACAGGATCCTGACCACAGCACCACCTGGTGTTTCATAAAGGAAACACAGCAGAGGGATACGCGCCTTACCTGTGCATCCTGTCGCTGCCACTGTACGTTGTTCAACACTTTCATTGCTCCACTAATCAAAACATGAGGAGACTGGGGTTTTTTTTTAAACCACTGGATTACTTCCATTGTTTTTTATTTAGTTTGGCGGAAACAAACTCAAGGTAGAAGAAATATGCTAAATAAACAAGAGTTCAGTTAAAAATAAAAATGAAATCTTTATAGACAATAAAAAATGTGAACTAATAAAATTAGACTGGAGTAAAAAGTTCACACATTGAGGCGACACATGTTGTTTCATTCACCTTTAATGACTGATTTGCTCCAACAGATGGTGCATTAGTTACCATTTAGACTGATTCCTTACTCATTACTTCCACACAGTATAAAAGCACCTTTCACATGGGACTGACTTTGATTTCTGAGGATATTTGGTTTGAAATATTTTCAGTGGCATCCTCATCATTTTGAACCAAACAGAGATTTACACTTTCATGTTTTAGCCTCATTTAGCTTCTTGCATCATAGTAGCTCCTTGGACTCAATGTATGCAGTTTAAATTTTCTGTCTACTGGAAGAAACACTAAAGAAAATGTGTCTTCAAAGTTGTGATGCAGTGATATCCTGCTGCAAAAGACTAAAAGTTCAGTCAGATGGTCTGGTCCAAGAGAGCACAGCTGATCCAGAGTCAAATTAAAATGTTAAAAAGAGTTAAATAAGATAGCTCCTGTCTCAAGTGTATTAAAAAGTCATAAATAGTGGTATCTAAAGCAGATGGACAAATCAGTAGCTGAGTTTCAATAAGGTTTTGCATTTTATCTATCAATGAGAAGAAGAATCAAAATAAAACCATATGTGCATTAGAAAGTGTAAGCCACACATCAAGTCATGTCCTCAAAATGGCCAATACAATAAATGAAAAACTACTGTTCCCTTTCACAATCCTACCAAGATTTTCACAATGCAAGGCAAAACCCTGCGAACATACTACTTATAGCTGTGGCATTCCACAGGGCTGTAGTAGAGGACTCCTGCATTTTTCAGTCAGGTTTCATGGAGCGATCCCACCAGTGTCACAGTGTCTGTTGGCTTACAAAGTAAACGACAATCATATGCTTCATGCAAGAAACTGGGAAATCTTCTCAAAACATTTTCTCCACCAACCTGTGACAGTACGCAACATAAAATATTTTGACATTCATACAGTACATCCATGGCTTATTTCAGCTTTTTAGATAACAGACTTGTTTTGTGCTTCATTTGTGTTCAGCAAAATCTAAATAATTAGATAAAGTTAATTTTGGATGTCAGACATTTTAGATGGTTATGTACTGTTTATTATGAAGTTGGGAAAAATCTTTATAATCTTTTAACATTTGTTTTATGCCAATGTGTTTGTGAGATCACTGAAGAGGGCAGTGAAGAGGGACAGAACCTGTATGTTTTATTAGCCTCAAACTTTCTGGGTAAAGTTCTCAGGGAAAACACCTTTGGTTGAAATGTCTTTGTTTTGCAGCCACTGAGACTCCTTCAGT